GAAAAAATCTTGTCAATGAAATTTGAGTATTGGGGATCCATCTTTATTTCAATTCTCAAATAGTTTTCTGGTAAAGAATCTCATTTTAATAGTAATATAAACCACAAATATGCTGCAAAAAGAGGAAAAAACAATCCATTAAATTAAGCCAACCTTTATTTCACCAGCCAAATTCTCTTGAAACTATTCAATTAGCATATATATTCGTTTCAAATCGACTTTGACTCTACAGCCAGGCATTTCTTCCTGAGTACTCAATTCTCTGGCAATTTTAAATGATTAAAAATTCGATTAAGGAGCCTAACATAAAATGATCGAAACTGATCCTTACTGCACTGACAATTTGCAAAATTATCACTGTCATTCACATTTTCCTACTCTTTATTCTAAATTAAGCCAATCTCTATTTATTTGCCTTTAAATGCCAAAAATTCTTATATTCTAAAAATATAATTATTATTATAATTATTTTTAAAATTTTTTTTATTCTATTCAATATTGATATGATATGAAATATCTCCAGGATCATCTTATCTTTAAACTTGGAGTCCTTTATCACTTTGATTGTTCAATTACAAACTACTACTGGCACGTGCTGCATAAATTACTGCCACTATCAGCACTTTTAAATTTATAATTGCAAAATCACCAGCAAAATCGTTAACATTTAGTCTTACTATAATCATCTATCTCTATTGATATTTTATGTAATGGATTATGGATTTTTCTCATTATTATCATTAATTAATTTTAATTTAACAGCAACAACAGTTGCCCATTATATGCCAAAAATATGAAAAAAGCCCCAAGTGATAAGAGACCAGTGAGTATAAGTATATTCACACTATTTAATAAATTTGCCTTTAAAATCCACCGAGAAATCAATAAACCCTTTTCTTTACGCAAAAGCTCTTGAATGAAATAGAAAGAGAAAAAATAGAAAGGAAACAGGACACAACTACAACGAAAACTACAGAGGTCAAACAATCGTTTTATGACCAAGAATTTTCAATTGTTCTATCGATTGCAACATTATATTTGTTGAACAAAGTTCTCTTTATTGATTGTATGAATAAAAAAGTTGTAAGGCGAATCAGCTGATCGTTTAAGAGAATTGCTCAGATAATATTCCATTCCTAGTTTTGTTGGTTTTTTGTGTTTTAAAATACAAATAATTCCCACCGAAATCTTTTTTTGTCGACTTTCCAATGATTTTTTGGAAGTTACTTTTTTCTTTATAGGGCATCGTGCTTTGTGAGATTTCTTGCCGATAAAAGTCAGAGGGTTAAATGTTCCAAAATTAATTGCATTCGGTTAGGCGACCGGTTGTTTGGTCGCAAATTTAAACCGCGGTGACGCGCTTGCCGCGATGTTCTTTAAAAAATTTTTTTAAGCATATTACCTTTGAAAGTGGCTATTAATAATGTTTTAGTGCGAAAGTTTTCTCGATTTCATCTTTTTTTCATTTCTCTTTTATTTTATTTTGAAATTTTTATTGTCGATTATGAATATGGTTAATTATGAAGAACTATTGCATTTCAAGTGGTAGTCGACTGATACGATGTTTGCTGCTGATAAGCCGTTACCGCGACCGCCGATACCTGTTAAGCCACGAAATAGAGTGATGAACAGTTCACTTCATAAACCCACTTCATCCTTAGGTTGTTCATTTATTTTCCTTTTAATTTTTTGATGAGCTCAGCCATATAATGGCCTAGGTTATTTGTTATCGGCCAGATTTGATTTAATTATGAGCTTACTTCCTTATAATCAGGAGTTAACCTCGGTCTAATAATGAGCTGGCAGGCAGGATGGATAGATTTCAGCGTTTCAGCGATAGATTGTTTCTAGAGACTAGGATTCTGTTCTTGTCCTCAACAAGAGAAAAAAATGTCTGAGTGCTGCTAACAACCCACTTTTGCCACGTCACTTCCTGGCTAAAATTGTTAATACGAACGTCCAGCGGGGTGAGCCTAACCAGAAATAAATACTAACCACTTAATTTTTGATTCTAATGTACTAGATTTTTATGTTAGTGAGTTATATTTGATGTAATAGTGAACCGGGTTCAATATATGGTAACGAGTTAAATTTGTACTGATAATCAATTAAATTTGATAGCGGTATAAATTTGGTCTAAGAATGAATCAAACTTTTTTTATTAGTGAATGAGTGAAAATTTACCAATTTTTTTGCAAGTTAAATTTTTATTTCGTTTAATTTTTTGTGAATTATTGATAAACTGTTATTTAATTTGAAAATCAATTAATTAATGCTTGTTTTTAATGCTGTAATTCTTCATTCATAATAAAAAATTTTAGAAAAAACCACCATAAATACGATAAACGCTAGAAAACCCTTTAAAATTTTTTATAATAAATTAGTAAGTTGGTGAAGTAAAAACAATTATCAAAAAGCAGTTGTTGAATGAAAAGTGCAAGAAGCGTGGTTTTTCCTCTTCGTTTCGCCTTCCGTTTCCCCTCGCATTGCCTCTTTTTCCCGTTATTCCTGGCTTTTCCTTTTCTTTACCGCACTTTTTTCGTGTCCGCAAAATATTTTATTATTTTTATCGCCATTCTTTATAAATTTTCCATTAATTTTTCTATCAACTAAATTTTTAAAAAATCCATTTATTTTTGATATTTTAAAGAAAATGTTAATTTATCGATAAACACGGCGAAGACGCTTTTCAAAAAAGACCCAGAAATCCAACGAGGTCTTATAAATTTAAGCAAGAATGAAAAAGTTCGATCTTCAGCCATTTCAGTTGCTGAGAATGCTCAGGTTTATCTTTATTTTTCTCCGTTTTTCAATATCTTTTTGGATTATTAATTATGTTAATGCGGTCATTGATGAAGCTGTCATTTAATTAAAAATTATTTTTTAGAATTCAGAATTTTCTCAGAAATTTGACTTTGGCTTTTTTTTGCGTTCTGTGGGTTTCAGATTTAATCTTTTTTATTTATATAATTCTTGAGCTATCAATTAAATTATTATCCATTCAATTTACTAATTTAATTTGTATATTGGTTTTATAATTTTTACATTTTTTACATTTTTTACATTTTACATCATTTTTAATTTTAATTTATATTTTTATAATTTATAATTTTATAGTTTTATGATTTTTATAATTTTTTTTTTTTTTTCAGGCGAGAAATGCATTTATTCAATATGCCAAAGATAAAAGAACGCAAAAATATGTCTCAGGAATAGCGAAAGCGTATAATAACGCTGCATTAACAGTTAAAGAAGCGCCACATCATTCACAAACATCGCTGAGTCCAACTAAATCCCAGATAAGGCACTTTTCTGGAACTAGTCCATATAATAATAAGTCTTTAGAGCAAACTACCAAATTCTCACTTTATCCTGAACTGAGTTCTTTAAAAAGTTATCAACAGTTTTCTGATCAAAAGTCTTATCAGAATCCTAGTTTCTTATCGAGTGAAAAACCAAGCGTTTTATTGTCTTCCAATCATCAACGATCGTCTTTGGAAACGCCAACATCAAATATTTCTCGAAATTCCAAATTTTCTTCAATACACAATGAATTGGCATCATTAAATATTTTTAACATGAAGGGTTTGTTTTAACAGTCATTAAATATTTTCAATCATTAAATATTTTTAATATGAAAGGCTGTTTTTTATCAGTTTTATCTTTAGTATTTTTATTTTCGCGATTTTTTTTTTCTGTTTTATCTCCGTTTTATTCCCACTTATTAAAGTTTTATTTTTTTTTTATTTTTCATTGTTTTATTGTAATTATTTAAAGGATATTTGCGACAAAAATAAATGCAAAATTTGAAATTAATTAATAAAATTGATAAATTTGAAGTTTTGAAATAAAAAAATAAATTTGCTTCCTTTCTTATTTTTTTCTTTATGGTATTTTATAATCATTTTATAATTACCTTATTTTATAATCATATAATTAGCTGATAGAAAAAAGTTACTTCGCATACTGAATTTGATAATTTTCTTCGAATCTTTTATTTTGTAACTTCTTTTTATTTTTTTTGCACTCTATGAATGTTCCATTTAAAATATATATTTCTGCCTCAAATCCTTATTTTTCACTGTTAATCGCCTTGAAATCTGAGTGGTCAACTTTCAGGTATCAGAATTTTTTTTGTTTTTTTATTATTGGGAAATTATAGTTGTGGGTGTTTGTTGTTGGTGGATTATTTTTTAATTTTTTTTATTTCGCGATTTTATAATTTGTAAAATATAATTTTGATGATTTAATTACAAGTTTGAGGTAAATAAATTTTTTTTCGTAAATTCGTAAAGTGCTGTTATCATAAGATGAATCTGGCTGAAGTGTTGTGGAACCAATTATCACGAAGTTGTAGCAGGCGAATATAAATCCTCAACCGCCGGCCTAATCAATATTTCCGATAAATTCAATGAACTTTACTTTTTTACTCTTCACTTAATTTTACTCGTAATTTTTAACAGGTGCCAATGAATTTCCATTCCCAGTGAATTTCGAAAAATTGTTGTTGGGTTGTTTAAATGCAAAAAATGCCTGTCGCATGTTGCACAACGCATTGTTCTAATTTATTGACATACAAAATTTTTCGATTTTTGTGATAAAGCAATATGTAAAAATAAAAAAATTTATGAGAAATTCTGTGGTTGAATGAAGAGAATCAATTGGAAAGGTGAAGATTGATCTGTAATTTTTTCAGGAAATGATCGACTAACCCAATCAAATGTAGTGGCGACGTTAAGCGAAAACACTGGTACACCAGAGAACGAGTTGCAATCGAATGCATCATTGAAGAACGAACCATATGCCATTGCAAAATATCCTTTTAATTCTGCCCATTTCGATGAACTTAGCTGTCAACCAAACGATATTATTATATTAAAAAAACAGGTAAAAGTATTTAAATTTTTTGTGGCTGTTTGCTCTAATATTGTTCTTTTTTTCAAATTCCCCTTTATTCCGATTAAATTTAATTATTGCTTAATCAAAAAAATCATTATAGGGTGGTGATAAAATTTTAGGTAGATAATCAGTGGATTTATGGAATGAACAATAGAACTCGTTCGAATGGCATCGTACCAATAAGTTTTCTCGAAATAAAAATACCCCTTCCGTCGTTAGAGACAAATCAATCGTCAAAGTAATTTGCATAAAAAGTTACCTTTAAAGTAAAAAAAGATTGTTAGTCCGAAAAGCAATAAAGAATATTATATATTATATTAAATATAAATATCAATATTAATAAAAATATTTTTAGGCATTTTGATGTATTCTATGTTTGCGCATTATATGATTATAATTCGGGCATTGAAGGTGATTTAAAGGTATGCTTAGAATATTGGAATATTTCTTCTTTTACTTCCAGCTTGTCATTTGTCATCACTCAGAGATTTATCTCTACGTCTTCTTATCTTTCGTTGTTATCTTTCCTATCTTTCGTTCTGTCTCATCGTATTTAGTATTATTATTCAAAAAATAATTTAGTAATAATCATTTTATTTATCATTTTTATCATTAATTTTTTTTCTCTCTAAATATATTATGATTTGATTTGCTTTTATAAAATGAATTTGCAGTTTCATACAAACGATGTAATTAGAGTGATTGAAATTGTGAATAACGATTGGTATCGTGGTGAACTTAATGCGAATTGCGGTATTTTTCCATCAAGTTTTGTGCAACGAGCTGAATTAAATGGTTCAAAAACAAATACAGTAACTGCCCTATATGATTATAATAGTGGAATTTTCGAAGATTTAATATTTCGAAAAGGTGATGTGATCGAAGTCGTTGAATGGATCAGTGACGACTGGTTAAGAGGGAAATTAAATGGATTAATCGGACTTGTACCGACAACATATATAAAGCAAACACAACAGCCTAAAATGGGAGCCAAAAGCACTAAATTTTGTTCTTATATTGTTACAGCTAAATATGATTATTTAAATAGTTCCAGTGATCATTTATGCTTTTCAAAAGGCGACAAAATTGAAATCATCGAAGAGGTCGACTCTATTAAAATTTAAATTCAAATTTTTATTAAATTTGTTTTAAAACAAGAATTGGAATTGAACAATTGAGATTGAGATTACAAAAAAAATTGGAAACAAAATTAAGAAAATTGAAATATAATAGTTTATAATAATTAACTAAATCTAAATTTACTAAATTGAATTAAATTGATAGGAATTTATAATTTATTTATACATTATAGATTGATGAAAATTGGTTAAAAGGTAAATTGTTACTGGATATGCCGAACATGAAATCGCTTCCCTCTGGACTATTACCTCGAGAAATCGTTCAGTAATTCTCATTCTTGCGAAAGATAAACAGCTGCTAAAATATTAATTTCTGACTAAAAAGGTTTTCAAGATTTTGTCATGTTAATTCATCTATATAAACAACGAAAATAATTATTACGGTAAAAGTTTTATCTAATCTTCTTTGATGTCACAATTTATCACAGTTTGATAAAAATTTCGGAATTCACTGAATACATCATTTCTTATTCATAAATTATTTATTTCTATTATTAAAAGATGGTTAGAAGTAAAAATACCAATTATTGCAATATGTATCAATTAACTGGTGCTAAATCAGGCGATTCTAAAACATTGAACAGTACGACATCTAAGATTTATCGTTATTAGGGCCACAGTGGGGCCCTAATAACTATAATTACTACTATAATTTAATTTGTATGGTCTTTTTTTGTTTTTTTTAAATCAGCATAATTTTTCAATTGTTATTCTCGTGATTATGTATAAGTAATATAGTTATTTCGAATTGTACATTTCTTTAATTTGTTATTTTTTGGCATATTTTCTTTTTTTATCATTTTTTCATTAATTTTCACTATTGTTATTTTAGCTTTTGTTATTATTGTTAGTTCAAGCGTATGGCATTTGCCGCTTTGCTTGGTTGGTTTTCATTGAATAAATATCGCAGTTTGTAATAAATACGCTGCTTGTACAATATTGAAATAAATAAATGGAATAAATAAAAGCAAGAAAAATGAATATTTATAGATTTGTTGATTCTGATGAAAGACGTATAACAACTGAATGACCTAATAAGGAACCAAGCATAATTTTAAGGCAATCGACAAGATAACTCCTTCTAGAAGCCATTCACAAAGCGATATTTGTGCTTCAGTATTTGTTTTTTAATAAAATTTGTACTAAGCCGAAATAAAGTATGCAATATGAATAGTGAAAAGAATTTCAAATATTTATGGCGATTTAAGTTTTTAGAATGCAATATGTAAACATTATAAACAATAATGTAAGCGGGAAAAAAACTATCAAAGTTTAAGGTCGCAGAATGTATTCCTTTTACAAATACTAATATTAAAATTTTATTTCATTATGATCCATTCTATTTTGTATCGCTATTGAAAGGGTCAGTGAAATGACATGGGATATCACTGGGTGCCTGCTAAAGAATCGCCTCATAAGATGGAAAGAAGTCTTTGAGGCCGAACTTAACCACGATACGTCATCCACTGAAATAGCTGACCATACGTTTGAAACCGCTAAAAGAAGAGGAATCCATAAGCTTAAGGCTAATAAAATTTCTGAAAATGGTCTTCGGGAACTCTTCAAATGCTGTCCATCCTCGTTCATAAGTCAGCTTCAACAAACACACTCTCTGGTATGGCAAAAAAAATAATACCAGAAGAATGGAGTAAAGCACTTCTAATTCCAATTCCTAAGAAAGATGGTAGGACGTGCTGCGACAATTACCAAGGAATTTCCGGAAAAATTTTCCCTTCCCTTCTGCTAAATAGACTCATGGCAACACGAGATAGCAGAATGCATCCTAACCAAGCTGTATTCAGACTCGGACGCAGCTGTGCTGACCAGATATTTACGTTAACAAAAGTTCTGGAACATCGCTTCCAGCAGCCCACCGTCACTTGCTTTATCGATTTTGCAGCTGACTTCGATTCGCTTCACAGAACAGCGCTCTGGAAAGTGATGGAATGTAACAGTGTCCCAGAGATCATTCGGCCCATTTTATTAGCATACTCTGGCAGAGGTTCGTGTATGTGAGGAATTGACCGATCCTTTCGAAATAAAAACTGATGTCCATCAAGGATGCGTCCTTCTCCATACAATATTCTGCTATGCAATAGACTGGATAATTGGCATAGCTCAAGAGGTGTGCAGATCAGTCCAGAGCATTACTTGACCTTGAATACGCTGGATATGCTGATACAATCTCTTCTGCCTACAATAATAATGAAATGCAAATAATATTAAACAATGTGTCAACAACTGCAGCGAGAATCGTATTCAGAGTCAATATAAATAAAACGAAATCCAAAGAAGCAGACTTATTTTTCGGTTGAGGAGGTGCCGACTTTAAATATTTTGGATCCAATCTAATTTTAAATTGCTAGGGAAAGGATGAAATTGTAACCCTGATAGCGACAGCTAGAAATGTGTTTTTTCCATTGATGAAACCTTTATGGAAGCGTCGCCAAATCACCATTAAGACGAAAATTCGCATC